CCCGTTATATATAATTAGATGATACATGTATATAATCAGTTAGGAATTTTACTATAATATAGGCCAATTGGTGACAAATTATTGGTTGATCACACTGCATTTACTACATTATGAGTAGTAAATAGCCCCCTCTACATGTACATACACCTACTTCCTAGACGGCTTCAAAAACTTCTAAGCAACTTGTGGACATCAATTAAACTTGTGTAGATATACTGTGGTTATTTACTGTTTAAATGTGAGAGGGCAAAAGACATTTTACTGGAAAAATAGAGACATAAGAATCAGTTCAGCATTCAGGGTATGAAGTTGAATAGGAAGAAATTAAACATGGCAGTTATCAAACTGCAGGGAACATACTACATCATACAATCTAAGAAACTACATATGCAGTTGACTCTTGCTAATTAGAGCTTGGATAAGATGAGAATACTTCACCAGTCCCAACCAAAGTCTGTACATTCCTATGAGGAACAAAATCTTTAATATGGGCTTGGGTAATACGAGATTTCAGTTAAGACGAGTGCTTTTGCCGGTCCAGTCAAGTCCAAAGTGTAATGCTAGTTCTCTATTTAGCACAAGCATTTTGAAAACAACTTGTCAATCAACGAGCCCATTCAATACAGGTGCCATTGTATTAAGTGCAGTGAAAATGCTCACAACCAACGACTGCAGTTTGGGGGAATTTTAGATTCCCTAGCAATCAAAGCTTTTTTAATATGGACACTTTCATGCCGCAGATGGGAACAAACACAATGGACAGTGGGTGTTCACGATTCCCAGGGCACCAGATGGTCCAATCAGAACAAACTCATTACCAATTCCCTACCAAACATGAAAAAGAGAGCAGAAAAATGCCCCTACCCAACTTCAAATCTAACACAAAATTCATTTGTTATTAAAATCCCTTCTCTTACCTATAAATATCCTTTGGGGGGTCATATGTATGAATTCTGAATCCAAAAAGTAAAAACAAAATTCATTTTCTGCCAAAAAACATATTAACCAGGTCCTGACCTACGTATGCCCTCTATTGTCCATCTTAAAAATCACTGGTTTCCTTCACTTGGTAATGTATAAAGTTGCATCTCTTTGGTCAGTCACCAACTAAAATGTTAATGTACATGCACGTTCTCTCGTGACAGCGTCCATGCCATGCAGGTTACATTGTAATGATTGGTGTCTGCTTGTCTCATTGTTGCATTTTATTAATTTTTTGCTTTGTTCTCAATTACGGTATAACAACAACTCTATTAAATCTACATTACACTTTCATAAGGAACATGTTCGAACTGTTTTGAAAGCAAATTCATTACCCTTCAACAGTAGTTTGATCGACAAATGACACATACGAAAGGAAAAATACTTTTTACTTAAGACAAGGGTATATCTCAAGGCCCTCGTATTAATGAGAGTTGACTGTACATTGTATGTCTTAGAAAGGCACATATTACATTATTTCTTACAAATCAAGAGATTACCTTGTAGATGGGTGAATTGTCATGAGGAAGTGTCTCCAATTTTGGTACTCTGGGAGCAATGAATGGGCCAAATTGCGTTCTTTGTTGGATGAGTTTACGAGCAAACACTCCGACAACTGCAAAAAAGCAGGTTAAATTTATGAAATGAATAAAAAGCATATATCTTCATTTTTATAGGCCATTATGGTCTGTCTAAAGCAGAGGGTGGAAACTGTGTTCATGTACAGGCACATGTATGCTTGAGAAAGCACCGGCAAGAGCAGATCCCAAAAAAGACCAGTCAAATTTTATAGCAGTTTGTGTCAGAAGTTTCAGATGTTTAATCATTATACAGAACCAATATTAAACAAGAATTTTATGCCTGTTAGAGAACAGAGCAAAGGCTTTTCTGCATTTTGAAAGTGGCTTTAAAGAATGGACATTAAATGTCACATTATTTTCATCCAGCTATCTGGAAAGTTGAAACACACATGGACTCCAGGAGATACGAAGCTTTAAACACTGCACCTTCAATGTCACATGACTTCTTACTTGATGAGGTCATCATCACAAAATGCACAGTGCGGAAAAGCCAATTTTATTTTCAGCAGCAGTCCTGCATCTATTTCTTGATATCTAAAGTATGCCCACTGAAGTACATGTGTGTGTAATACCTGGTGCCAAGAAGGTAAAGTTTTCTTGTTACAATAAAGCTTTTGGTGAAGAGTGCACTTCATGGTAAATGATGGCAGAATGATCTGATTTGTGACAAATGGAGTATTCACAATTTAGGGATGCACACAAATTAAGTTGGCGTCTTTTCAACTGAGTTATAATGCAAAACCATCTTTCTGAAACAGAATGTGAAACAATATGCATGTTTATTGTTGAGTTACATGTACGTATAATTCCAGGCAATGGATGCTTTTCAGTGATGTCATACATGTAAGCTGCTTTCTCCTGTCAAGCAATGGTACATTTAATTCGCTAAAACTCCTCCCCACAGTAAAGTAGGAGAATCTACCAGCTAATGCCTACCCAAACAGTCACTATATTTCAAATTTTCTTTGCACCTTATTCTATTGCTAAAACTTTATCAATTTTTGCGCACTTATACCACAGTGCATTGCGACACCGCATGGTTCATCCTTTTTCTGAGTGCAAGGTCTGAGCCACAGCTAGGACGGGAAGGCATCAACTGTTTGAGTAGGTATTAGTAGCAGACTCTCTCACACTAAGGTGGGGGAGGAGTCCACTGCACTTATCCTACCCAAACAGTTCCAATATTTGCAGAGTAGCGACACACTCTGGAGGTGGGTTGGTGAGGACACACTGAAAGTGAGAAAAACCATGAAGAATGATGAGGACCTGCCAAAAAAAGGAGGCCATTAGATAGAGCTGGAGGTGGCTCACCCAGTACAGGTCCTTGTGGTCTCAGTGAAGAGGCTAGTATTGTCTTGCCATGAAAGAACTCATTGCAAGACTTTATTCAGGTAGTATGAGGTGCATGATGATAGTGTTTTCCACCATGCTGCCCATATCTTCCAACAGGACACCACCGAGGGATGTCTGTAAAGGTAGATGCCACTCTGTCGTGAACTGTGATTGGCAGTCTGGTTTGTGATCTGGGAAGGTTGGCCATTCAAGATAGGTGAACTTGATGACCGAGGAACCTAACTAGCCATAGTTTCTCTGATTACTGTTCGATGAAGTTTATTAGGGTTGTGACAGAAGAAGAGTAATAGTACCTCCAACTGTGAGTCATGGCCATATACCATTATGAGAAATTGAACAGAACGGCAAGGCTTGCCGTAAGGAAAACCAGAGTGCTCTATAACATTAGAGATGAAGATGTCTTGTTGCTGGGATAAATTTGAATAGGACTTTATACAGGAGCCTAGGGCTGGGATGAACTGGACGCTGTGGTGTTACCATCCAATGACACCATCTGTGATGGATACATTTGGTAATCCACTGCCCCAGAACAAAGAGGTCATTGGAAGTAGAAAGGCCGGCTTCATCGAAGTGTATGATGATGAGGCTTCAATGATAGCTGGGGGGAAATCTTTGAAGAGCAGAAGGACACGAGACAGGTCCCAACAGGGAATGAGTCGTCTCAGATAGGAATGCTCAATAAACATGCCAAGACGAGAGTACTTGAGGGCAGTGTTTCCTGAGAGAGTGGAGCCAACTGGGGGAACGACGGTGGATAACTCAGATGACAGAACGGTAGTTATGTATGAATGCTAACTGTAGTTCCCAGTAAAGTAGGTACAAGAGAGGAAGTCGGCTACTGCGGTTATAGGCACCTCGGTTGGAGCTGCACAACAACTGACACATCATGACGTAGAAAGCTATTTTCTGTTGTGAAGAGAGAAGAGAAGACATATAGAGACACTCCCAAATGATACAGACAGAACTACTAGGACAAACGGACAGTGCTGGATATATCAGGACTGCCAAATGCAAGGTCGCCGTGCCATGAGCTGTTTCACTCTGCAGAACAGGGTCATCTCCTGAAAGTAAGGTTATGTCGGGAATGAACATGTCAGGAGGCCAGAAGGCAAGAGTCTGGTTTTTGTCAAAAACTTGATGGCTGGGATAATGCGGCGGATGTGACCTTTGGCAATCAGTAGAGCAAGCAGTTTGCTGTCGCATCTGGATGTAATGACTGCAAGGAGGAATGCAGGTTTGATGCTCAGATGAAGATTAAATGCATCGGAGAGCAGCTCGAAGGGGGGACCAGCGAGAATGCATAAGATGTTTCTAAGGTCCCAGGATAGAAAAAGGCATTTGATGTGAAGACGCTCAACAAGCATTCCTCGAACATGGTGGATGGCGGTCTTATCAGAGACCGTCGATCCATCGCTGAAGCCCGAATGGATGGCTGCCAAGGCTGACGGTACTTGCCGATGGTGACAATCTGAAGGCCTGAGTAGAACAGATACACGAAAAGTCTGCGACAGAACTCACATCAGCTTCGGTTGGAGAAACATCGTGGACGTTGCACCGTCTAGTAAAATGTTGTAGTTGGCTGTTGTAAATCTTGCGAGTGGACAGTCATTGACCCCGGGCCACCATAGATGCAGCGTCTGCAGCAATGCATGATGCTCTGAAGGATCACTGGATAACCTCCAGCACGTAAAGTGAAGACCCTCCAATGCTGGCGGGAGGATCCCCGACTCGGGCTGATGGAGGATGTCCTCCCTGACAAGAAGGACCAACGGCTGTCGTACCAGGAGTCTTGTCAGTTCTGGAAACCACATGTACAGTTGGCGAGGCCAGAATGGGGCGACGAGGAGGATCCGACATGGCTTGCATTCTATCTTGGACAGAACCCACGGGATGAGGGAGATTGGAGGGAAGGCATACGCCAGAAGGCCCGACCAGTCAATCTGTAGGGCATCTGTCACCCATGCCCATGGGTTGTAAAACTTCCTTTCCTTTCCTTTCATTTTACATCCTCAATTTAAAACTTCCTTTCCTTTCCTTCTACATCCTCAATGTAAAACTTCCTTTCCTTTCATTTTACATCCTCATTGTAAAACTTCCTTTTCTTTCCTTTCCTTCTACATCCTCAATGTAAAACTTCCTCTCCTTTCCTTCTACATCCTCAATGAAAAACTGCCTTTCCTTTCCTTCTACATCCTCAATGTAAAACTTCCTTTCCTTTCATTTTACATCCTCATTGTAAAACTTCCTTTTCTTTCCTTTCCTTCTACATCCTCAATGTAAAACTTCCTTTCCTTTCCTTCTACATCCTCATTGTAAAACTTCCTTTTCTTTCCTTTCCTTCTACATCCTCAATGTAAAACTTCCTTTCCTTTCCTTCTACATCCTCAATGAAAAACTGCCTTTCCTTTCCTTCTACATCCTCATTGTAAAACTTCTCTTCCTTTCATTTTACATCCTCATTGTAAAACTTCCTTTCCTTTCCTTTCATTTTACATCCTCAATGTAAAACTTCCTTTCCTTTCATTTTACATCCTAAATGTAAAACTTCCTTTCCTTTCATTTTACATCCTCATTGTAAAACTTCCTTTCATTCTACATCCTCAATGTAAAACTTCCTTTCCTTTCATTCTACATCCTCAATGTAAAACTTCCTTTCCTTTCCTTCTACATCCTCAATGTAAAAATTCCTTTCCTTTCCTTTCATTTTACATCCTCAATGTAAAACTTCCTTTCCTTTCATTTTACATCCTCAAAGTAAAACTTCCTTTCCTTTCCTTCTACATACTCAATGTAAAACTTCCTTTCCTTTCCTTTCATTTTACATCCTCAATGTAAAACTTCCTTTCCTTTCCTTCTACATACTCAATGTAAAACTTCCTTTCCTTTCCTTTCATTTTACATCCTCAATGTAAAACTTCCTTTCCTTTCATTTTACATCCTCATTGTAAAACTTCCTTTCCTTTCCTTTCATTCTACATCCTCAATGTAAAACTTCTTTTCCTTTCCTTTCCTTTCATTCTACATCCTCAATGTAAAACTTCCTTTCTGATGTGACTTTGTTGGTTTACACAATCCCGCCTTGTTGGTGTGGTTGGTTCCTAGAGGGTTTTTGATGACTCTGTTTCAGAGCTCTGTAGAAAGAACGCATAATTATTTTGTTGCTCTCTGCTTGCTGGCAACAACTGTGTACATTATTGTACAAGTACCTTCTTAAGATCATGCACTGCTTATATGTACAATCGCCATCCATTCAACTATTGGCACAAGTTGTGGGATGCTGCATGGTAAGTTACACATGTTTACACAGTTTAGTGGTGGGTAGCTGTGTCAGTCAGGTAGAATACAAATATAAATGTTTACACAGATTTAGTATTCTGCACAGTGTATTCACTTCTTCCTAGCGATTTTCAAACCCTATATATTTCGTCTTGGGAAAAGGTCAAGAAGTGTAATAACTCTCACATGATTTTGATGATCATCTATCTTCATCCCAAAATATTCATTAGTTGTAATGTAGATAATGTATAAAGACTTCATTTTTTTATGAATTGTATATTAATTAAAGAAGTTCATGAGCATATGCACACCTTTCTTAAAGTGCCCATGGACAGTGACGTGATGTAAGCGCCTTTTTTTCTTGGATATATTTGAGCATTTTATGACTCTCATTGAACATTAGTTC